ATAACCAGTAGGCATAAATATAACAAATCAAAACACGGTGTGATGCTAAAATGCACGGTGCTTACGGCCTTCGAGTACACAATAGGCTTGCATGTTTAATTTCATACCACTGCATGAGGTCGGAATTCGAACTTTATATTTGGTATCTCTATCATGTACCTTTAGCACATTGGTGCAATGCCTAACACTTAGTTCAAGGTGCTGACTTCAGGCAAGACTTGGTGAACGATGAATATACCGGTCTGCGATTCTATGCTTGTTGCGTCAATACATTTAGGTCGAGCAATATTGGTCCACACCATCTCAGAAATGGAAAGGTCAACGGACATTAGTCTCAGTCCGTTTTGCTGTCTGACAACATGATAGATTAGAACCACTGAAAATGCACTGGGCCATTCGAATTCTGCGTGGTGCATTGCAGATTGAAAAGTGTCAGGCAATTTCGGAGTGGACAGTTGTGCAGAAGCGGATAAGTAGCATTCTAATGGGCTCCCGTCCTTATCAATGCTTGCATCGGTTATTACGTTGGTCGATGTACGATGAGATGGTTCTATTGGGTTATTTACCTACGATAAACTAATCACATTGAACGGCTTCCAGCAGTCATTGACTGTGTTATATAATGGTAGCACGTTTATCAACATTTTAAATATTGCGCTTATAGGTGTTCTCTGATTGCAGTCTCAGTTTCTCTTGGGCTTATGGGAGAGTGCGGCATAGCTTTTCAAGTTCACTAAACCACATCCAGGTTGAGGATGCCGAGACCACTTGTTGTGTTTCGGACTAAATGATCAAATCTGTCGGGATTTGCACCATCTGTTCAGTATAGTACTTGTCGGCTCAAAGGTTGGTATTTTCAAAAAGCATAATTAAAATATCGTTGCCATAGGATTTCTAAAAGGGGACATAATTTGAACACGTCGGTTAGCATAACTTGGCAGCTTTAAAAGCTTGCAAGCAATTTCCTTGCTAGCCTCGATATTTCGAAAGAAGGATGTTCCCCTCGTCTGGAACCACTTTTCAGCATTCCATCGGGTCGGCCTGGGGAGTCGAATAGACTAATTTTATCAAATTGTGTTCTAAAAGTCGCTATCTTAACAAGTCCTCCAGAGATATTTTATCATACTCTTAGTACAAACGTTAAGCTCTGCGTATGAAATGATAAACAGCGACACAGTTACTCAGTTTAAAGGGTTAAAAGGGATTCGCTTTGCTGTAACTCGGTCTATGTTCATTCTCCATAGTTAACACTGCTGGTTGTTTAATTCGTTTATCATAGCGGCTGGTAAACTCTAGTTTGTGCTTATTATCACATTGGGGCAGACGATTAACCATTCTCGAGCTCTCCGCGGAATCATAATATCTCTTACAACCATATGGAAAGGCCAAATTATCGTCTATGGTTCTCAGATATTTTCAAACGCAGGTGATGCTTGAGCAAAATTGCTCATTTAATTTTTCCCTGTATTTATAATTCTATAAGAAACACCATTCACATTGCGTTCAGCAATAAAATGGTCACTCTGGCGAAAAATCTGTATGAACAATGCAGCAATGTGGAGAGGCCGGAGTGCAGTCTGGTTGTGACGCACGCTGCTGTAGCCTACACACATCTGGTAGCCATGTGTGTCCTCGTACTCGAGCGCACAAGATGGTTGGATGAAATTATATCCGTAAACTGTGACACGCAAAATGTTTCAAGGATTACGTGCCCCTAACACAGTGCTGCTACGTCAGAGACGGAGGAAGAGCTCACCTTTCCGCACAGGCAGTTCCCAATGGTTAAATAGTATATGGAAAGGAGCGGGAGCTTTCTTTTTCTCATCCATTCACTAATGAAAAATACAATGGAAGACTCACTGTTATTGAACTGGGATAATACTGTCTCAATCGGCCTCAAACTTCCCCGATCGGAATATGGGATTCCTTGTGTTTCATTTACAGGTTCAAATGAAGCCCAACCATAGGCATCCGATTCATTCCAGGAGGTTAAACTTGACCCAGGTTTACTGTCGGTGATTGAGTCAAGCATTACCCACCACCGTAGTTTCGGTGGCGGTGAGCCAGAAGCATTGCAATATAGACGCAGATTGTTTCCTTCGTCGGCTTCAAGCAGAGAAGGCGGTCGTTCTTCAAGACGAGGTGGGACTATAGGAAGAAAAGGGCGTATAACCTGTCGTTTTTCACTCAATAATCACTGGAAATGGATAACTGCTTAGTACGGAAAACAGGGCATTTTATGTAATTTACTGGCATTCCTAGTTAAGCGCACATTTTTGTTTATATATGCACATCCTCGCCTGTAGTCCCTTTGAAATACGGAAAAACCGTATTGTTCACATGAGCAGGTAACTCAGATTAAAACCAAGACATTCTTACACACTGCAAGAGGAAGTGGATCCAGGAATCATTCAACAGCTGGTAGAGGGGAAAAAAACTTCTCCATCACATCACTTGACTGGGCTCCTCAATGCAGATAAAGCACCTTTGGGCCTGGACACTTGCATTGTGATCATTGCTTATCACATCGTGAGCTATATAGTGTTATTAGAAGCACACGATTCATTCGCAAGAGAATTGCTGCATTATAAACCCTCGAATGCGTCAGTGCCCGCGTGTTATTCACCTCATCTGTGGTAGTGCGAATTTACGAATGCTGCTTTCCAACCGCCCAACTACTCTATTGGTGTGTTTGATGAGTATGTCTCAAAATTGTTTGCAAACGGTTAAAGAATGTGGTTTACCACCTAGCTGCCAAGTGTTATCCTAGGTGAGAACGCCACTCATAAAACCAAGCCGTAGTTTACCAACAAACGCTTAAAGGTGAGTTAATAACTAAACCACAGATTGTAAAGCCACAATTCAAATAATACACTAACATCTCCATAATTACTGGTCGAGGTAAGAGAAACTGATTTCCCCACTAGCCATAAAACTGCCACAACGTTTACGCACAGTGAGAAAGTGGGGGTGAAGACTTAGCGAGGGACTACGTTTCTAAGCTACTTCTTCTGTGTGCCTATTTGTGTCCGTCAGATAAAATGTGGTACACCAAGGCCAAGTGGTAAACTGAGGTTTCGGTTCTCCATTTCTCGTGGATTAAAAGATTCTGGCTTCCAATTCTCAATTGAGGACAAATTCAGAGTTTGGACGCATCGCTGCTCCCAGCCACCAAACCGAAGCGTTTTCAATATCTGTCAAGGATTCCTCCATAGAACTGATATCGCCGACCTTGTGGTATCAGATATCAGATGTACTCATTAACCCCCTTGTCAGATAAATCCTAGTTGCATTATTCTGCACTTCACAAGCTAATGGTACACCAGTAATCTCGAGTTCCTCGTCAAGCGATAGAGAAAATATGGATTTCGTCTACCAAACACCAACTTGGTTTATGTAACGTACTCTTGTGCAAAATAACAGCATTTACCGTTGCAGGTTGATCCGTATTACAGTTATAGATTTTCATCCACCGCATTTAGAAATAACCGGTGATAGGCTGAGACATTTTAGGATCCAATGGCCTCCAGTTATTAGACAAGCTGTTCATCCGCTTGAATTTCCTTACTTATGACAGTTCCATCAGTTGTTAGTACCTTCTGAGGATGTTGAATGGGATTCATTTCAACTGGGGTAATATGAAGTCACGTTTACCAAACAACACCAGTCGAAACGCTACACGGAAATCCCTTGGCTTCAAAGGTCAGCTGTCCATGGAACAGCGGTAACCATGTGTCGTGCGCTCAACATTCGTCTGTTGTGCCGACGCAAAAGGAAAGGTATATGGGAGCATATGACACTGGTGCATTCGTGACAATTCGCAGTCCATTATTTACAGACGTAAGTGGCATTGTGGCGCAAAAAGCATGTCGGTCAAATGCACAGTCCCCCAACACTGACCCACTAATCAGCCTGTTGCATTGTAAGGTGTGAATAAGCTAAGGATTACTTAGGGGTTCGTGCGCTCATTAAGCTGACAGTTAGGTTTGCATACGTTTCATGCTAAGACGAGATGGTAGCACCTGCTTGGTGGTAAATGGCTTTTCTCATGCATTCCGGTCCTTATATACACTTGGGGTGTTAGTGCTTACAATTCGCTCTGACTAATTTGTGAATAGGTTTGGTAAGTTCGTCGCTTGATGTGGGGGCTACCTTATCCTCTGCACGGTTGTAACATGCAAGTCAGTGGATAGTGAGCGGCGCTATCTCACATCTAGCAACAGTCACATCGGCCACCAACCCGCTTCGTAGCCAACTGGTTTTCGTCACGGGCTGGTAACAGACGAGTTGTGGGTTCGAGCCTCACAGGGGTCGTATGGAATGCACACTTTTGAAAATCAGGAAGCGTGTGCGTGCAACCACCAGTGGCTCATGCATACTAGACGGGTTATTGTCTACAAGGTAAGACAAGTTATCCATATGCATACCACTATAGCTCGTAAAATACTACCAAACGAAATGTGAGCGGTTGATTCAATATATGTAGTGACATGTTGCGGTGGCAGGCTGCAGTCAAGCAGTGGCGAATTTTTCCTGCTCTGATGGCTTTGAGACCAGATGAAGCGCCAAACTACTACACGCTACGCAATAACGCACTGATTATCCCACCTCAACTGGTGACGAAACGTCCGCATCAAATTTGCGATGCCCTGCAAACCGTTGAACTACCACACAACTACGTCTTCACAATTGCGACAAATAGCGTGTCCTTGAGTTCCGCCATTCTTGGATTATAGGAATATGCGGTTACAGCCAGGTATTCCTTGGTTACTGTAGCAAGCGAACGTGAATAATTACTCAAGTAATCGGAAGTATCTTAATGCTAAAACTGTCTCATGATAAAACTCTGCCCAGCTCTTAAGCGGGCGCTCCTGCCAACACTTCTCCCTGTCTGATAGATTAAAAAAGGTGGCGCGGAAATCCACAATGCTGAATTAAATGCTTATCAGTTAATGTGTATTGAAGCAAATCCTTAAGCGGAGTAGGGTACCATAAGTATTCCAAATAAAGCAAGCGTTGTTTTATTATACAATAGAAAGCGAAAATCTTTGTCGGTTTGCGCTTGTAGATTAATACCTAGCTTCCAGTAGTTTTTCTACCTTAGGTTGAGTGAGTCCTAGATTTAGAATGAATAAAAATGTCGAAGGCAAAGACCAAGGAATGGACAATTACATGTATGGGAGATCGTCTGGCGTTCAGAACTGACAAACAGTTATGTAAAGGAGGAGTTGGAGTCTTGAAAATTATGTTTTTCTGACTCTTCGGACCAGTTATCGCTACACATTGCAGATTTCTGAAGTTACACACACCGCACTATATTCGGTTTAGTAGGTGCTTCAAGTATACAGGAGCAATGGAAGCGTGATCCAGCTTTACATGTTTAATGTGAGCTAAAAACACCACAAGATAATTGTACGATTTAGAGCGCAACTGGCTTTTGCGCATGGCCCATTGCGGTGACGTTCTTTAAGGAATATATTAAAGCACATAGTATAACCCCTATACAGTCATGGTTATCTAAACAACCAGGTGTTTTGCAATGTGGTACTGCAAGGTTTATGACGATCGTAGAACTTCAATATATACCGCCAGACATTTTCTATAAGGGGGACTAAAGAGACACTTTCAAACTGTGGTAATAGCATATTGATCCCATCCATCAAGTAGATGGAATCGTTTGTCGATACGACCTCATCATATTATTGTTAAGTTATAGAACTTTGCTTACAGTCTAGGCGTCTTTTAATTTTGTCTGGGTCGCAAAAATATGCAGTCACTGGGGCACAAGTCTCATCTACCTTCTAAAATTATTTAAAACACAAAACCATACAAATCGCTCTGTATTACCTTGTGACAAGTTGTCCACAATTCAGAAGTGTGTAAGGGCATCAAAAATTTGCCAACCTAATTTGAACGATGATCATTTAAACGCACCTTTTATGACCAAAATGACTGTTTTGTGATGCAACACATCACCATATTGGAAAATGCACCGATATTCTCCGGCATCCTGTTCTCCAACTGAATTGATGAAAAGTGGGAATTCTGTGGAGCTGTCCGTCGAGCGAGGCACCAGATGAATCCGACTGTCGCGAGTGACACGCAGAACTCCGCGAGTGAGAATTCGTCGAGGCATTTTCACCCACGATATGTTGGTGAAGTCCTGCATATGGGATGCATAGATGATTGAGTGGCGGCATTACAAACTCGAAACTGCCAAAAGTGAGAGCACAGGACATTTTAATTAGAATTTTGGTAAAAGTTACACATAACGTCCTGGATAAGCCCACCAGATTCCATATGCATTTATTTGTGAATTACTGGACGAAACAGTTAGTGGTCGTCATGGTTAACACAAAACTACTTTCCCAGAACTACGCGTTAAGCTTCAGTCCAACATACAACTTGACCAACATCCTAAGGCGCATTATTTGAAGCATTCTAGACTCAGTGCTTCCGATCAATTAAACATTAGGGCAGTCTGTCAGGTTGCCTTCAGTAATGCGAAGGGGAATTTTATGAGCCAAATCCAGGTTGCATGATGCAAGCCAACGATAAAAAGTATCCCCAAGTTGACCAACTTTGCGGATACAAAGCAGTCTGCCAATCGAATATGATTTTGAAAGTGCAATAGAAGGAGAATTTTGGATTCAACGTTAATCGTGATTCGGATGTGATTTGTTCGCTTCGCGGCTCACTGGGTTAAATTGACCCACTAGTTGTGCAAAAGTTGGTCAAAAAATCAACTCTTTTATGGTGGTTTACTTAGCCGTGAAAATTGTCTGCAGTGATGTTCAAATAATTACGGGACTTTGAGAAAAAGGTGATTTACCAGTTTTATCGTCTAGGAACTTCAGTTGATTCTCAATACAATCCCTTACTATATTATACACATAGCGCAACTTTGCAATAATGATTCCAGGAATTCAGGAGAGGAACACTTGTCATTACGTCTGAGCCAGTTTAACATAATTTTCATCACTTCGTCGTCATAGCGGAAGGGTCGAAATTGTGGAATTCTTGAAGGAATACAAACAGTTGACATCACTTTATTTCAAGTCGTAGCATTAAAGAGGATGTGATGATTCAGCTCAGGAAGTATGGAAAAACAATATTTATTTGAGTGTAAGATTCAACTCGAGTATGCCGTTTAAAAGCGATAAGCTATCTTGGGAACCATGTGCACTCAAGTTGCAAAATAGCAAAAGATCTTAGATTATCGTTTATACCACTCCCAGCGAAACATTAAGCATGGCTGCATTTCACAAGTTACGCGACAATTATCAACGGCGATTGTCTCGAGGCGATTACACTGTTCCATGCATGGCAGCAATTTGCAAGTCATTAGATAGTGAGCACTACCATATCACATGCAGTTACTTAGTCACGATAGTAGATATTGTTCTCCGTAGTTCGTTTGTCTTAACTACGGACGAGCAACTCTCGAGTTGCGGGTTCCATCTGCACAGGAGTCCGATGGCATGCGCACTGCTGACGATTCCCGAAGGGATCAGATGGCTGTATAGTGTCTTTCCGATGGTGAAGTGGCAGTTTGACTAAATCTAGATGTCATAAATCACTACTTGTAGCTTTCACATCCCACTGCTACTTTTTGTTATTATTGATAAACTGCTCGATGCGCTGAATGTTTACGGGCATGACAGTTGTGGGATGGGATCCATCTTGACCGGGATCCCAGCGTGATGCACTTACACCGTTCAGATATCTTACTGCGGCTGAGTAGCTTATCATCACATTATGACGGCAGTCAGTATATTTCCGTTTGTTATGTGTCCTCCTGAGCTAATCAGAACACCACGTCCCACTGATGCTGTGTTACGCGAAGTTGGAATAGCGGACATGAATTTATAAAAGTACCCAAATTCAACCAATCAAAAACAAATAAAATACGCGGATTTTTACACATACATTTACTGGGTCAAATACTTACACCTTGGGGCCTTAGGCATATCTAAGTACTCCTTGGCGGCAAATCTAATAAGCTATTCCAGAATTGTAGATTAATGCATTAACAGAGGGGGTCTTTAATTGTTTACCTAAGCTCCATACACTTCGCGACATGAATGTCCGAGGCACTTTTCTTGGTATATATATGGCAGGAAGCCTAAGTTAGTATATTAACCAGTTAACATACAGGACTGAACCAATTTCTATCCTGTAATAAAGACTAGCAGAATCCTTGATACGTTCTAGTACTATTCTCAGGAATACTTTTGGTTACTCTTAAAGATTAGTGTACCCTACTAAATGAGTTTACAAACAGAGGCTTTAGGATAAAGCTGCAGCAAGCCTACTTAATGACAAAACGTTAACGAATATGGGAATGATCACATAAGTCCACAATTTTAATCAATTTCCGGGTTGTGTTGTAAACTTTTAGCCCTCTAAGTATTTAACTGCGGTGCTGAGTTTAACATTCACTAGGAGATAAACGTCACGAAAGAAAAACAAGTTATTTCACTCCTACACATAATTACTGCTATAGACTTTTAGTGACCAACCAAAGTAGATGATTACGTTATGAACTGTGTATTAGAGTATAAGACATGAAGCTAATCAGATTTGTCATAATTTGTTAAGAATCCCTCCTTAGTGAAACGCTTGTGGTTATCATTGGTCTTCCAGCCACTAAACACCTCGAGTTCCTTCGGTCCGGGGATACCGAATAATGGTACGAAGTTCTGACAGTGAAGTTCATCACAAATAGACGAAAAGTTTGAGGGATATATGATGATATTTCGTGCGTTGCATGCGCTTACCAACGTGATTCATGACCGGTCTATGCTATACGGATCATTCAGGTAGTCAGTCCGAATTAGCTGTGAATAATTGCTTCTATAATCGTTAGCCCTAAGTCATGGAATCTAAGTCTCCAGGTTTACGACGCGTCTTGGAATTGCCACTTGTTTACATGTCAGATACACTTTCGAATACTGCCTTTTTGGTTTCAGCGAGATACACGGTCCAGTTTGAGGCACAGACATTTGTCCTCACTGCTTTCAAATTATATCCAAACCTAGCTACCGCATAGTGGAAGTCATAACTTCAGAGTCCAACCACAGTCCTCTGCAATGATATGAGTAGATATATCAATGGAGCATAGATTGCGCTATGTTCCAGTTGGCTTGCAATTTCAGACAGTCTGCCTTCGTCCCCCATGGTTCAGTGGCATAAGCTTCTGGCTAGTTGGCACAAGCTGCCAACGGTCATGGGTTGGATCCTTAGCAAAGGACCGAGGAAATGCGCACCGCTGAGGAGCCCCAACAGGCGGATGCGATCACTTGGTGCCTTTTCGGATTGGGGTTAGACTAATCAGGCTTTTGAGCAGCTAGGATGAACCAACAAGGTTTCACAATAGTTTGCTCGCAAACAGGTAAGAAGAAGACGCTGTGCCAACCTCCGAACACTTCGAAGGCTAAACAGAGGGCAGGTCTGCACTGGTAATTCCTTGCATGGAGCAGACGCAGCTGCACTCGGGGTGCGTTACATACTGATCTGAAGCTTAAAGTACTTATTTGGAGTACTTCTCATTGTTCTATCTGAACAAGCCCACAGTCAACTAATCCATCAGTCAATGGGTCTGGATTGAACAAAAATGGAGTCACTCTGTTCTAAAAACCAAGGTAACCATTGCCAGAGTTCCATAGTGACAAGCCTACTGATTTATACATGTGCTGCTCGTTACTGAGGAAAATGTCTTCACAGAGCAATCTGCTAAAACGTAGCACATAAGTAAATTAACATCCGACTTCGGGGAGTCGCCAGTATACTAACTTCAGCTATCGGCTACTTGTGTACAGTGAAAACTAGCATTCGATGCAAACTAAAGCAAATCATTTTAACACATCAAAACATATGAAGCCTAAACGAACTATTTTCACATTCGTTGTTTAGAACAGTCTTTTTGACGTTGAAATACAATGTGGCACTGCAAAGAAGTCACCGGAATCATAAGTGTCGCCCCGGTGTTCGAGAATCGACCCAAAGATCCATATTACATGGTTCACCAATGAACACTCAGTAGTGACATAGGATTCTCTCGTACACTAATACAACCAAAAAGCAGTCCAGATCCAGATAGAAGGCATCGAACCTAGGACCAATGGGGTATAATTGGAAACCTCTTCCATTTAGTCACTGGTTCACGAAGGGTAACACTTGGCAAGACGATCAATAATTGATTGGATGGTCACTTTTCATTACTCGTCGTGTGATTGGGTTGCGAAGCGCAACCTTCATGTGGACTGCGAGTCGCATTGAAGTGAACCTTGGTCAAACCGATAACCTTACACTGTAAATGATAACACGGGCAGGTGTTGCCCACCCGAAAACACTGTAATGCACAACGCTTTTTGAATTTAATTGAGCTCATCAGCTAGAGATAATGAGCATCGGCACCGGAGTAGATATTACTGCTAACATCCTAGTGGTTCCAGGTTAAAAGCTTTCTATCTCTATCTTTTGAAATCAAAGAAATTCGTGACGCGTCGTTAAGTGCAGTGTTTTCGGGCGGGCAACATCCATTCTCCACTTGCTTCAGCTACGATGTCAGTTATCGACTTAAACAAGATTCTTTCCAATACTCATCGCAGTCCAAATGGAGATTGCGAGGATCTATTCTTTCCCATATCGAGTACTTCAACAAAGTACTTGCAACATTCTAGTCCATGTTATTGAACTAAAACCCACTAGACTCAGTGCTGACTAAATTACCTTACTTATAACAAAAGATGCGTGCAGTTGAAATGTGTTTTCAATTCGACTGTCTGAGAAACCAGATACACCTTGATTAATGCATGGTACGGTCCCCTTTGATCCATAATATTGATGTACACTGGTGACTTGCACTCAGCGAAAAATCACGATATGCAGACCACTAGTGTGTGTATGTGTGTGTGGTTAGTTGAAACTGCTGAAGTATGACGTGCATGTGAGTCCTCTGTTCAACCGATCAAATAAAAGGGTGAACCACCCACGAATGTTTACTCAATCAAATGTACGTGTTACAATGTATTTTGATGTATGACTGTCCCCTACCTGCTAAGTTGCTAGTGAATTGCTTGCTGCCTGTGATCCCTGTTACGAATTTATTACACTCAAATACAAACAAAGTGACAAGACAGTATGTAGCTCGTCCGTCTCATCGAAGTGTCAGCAACAGTATGGTGGAAACCAAACAATTCTGTTTTAACGCTCAACCCATGTGGTTGAATTCGCTTGAACCTCACGAAGTAGACACTTACGTTTTTCGTTTGCTTTATGCAAATCCATGCACAGAATGATCTTCAACTGCACTCATTTCTACCTACCTTGTTTTCTATAATCATGCCCATGGCCATACGATATGTTACATGCGGACCCGTATCCTGTGGCTGCACCGAGAACGATGCGAAATTGTTTTTGCTTTTCGTGCAAGCGCTAGTTTAGTTTCTCTGAGGCCCATACATGTGCTTGTTTAATAACTACATGACACTTGGTATTTGTTCTTCTTGAGCTGCGTGCTACTATTGTTCCGCCCAGTATAGGCAACATCAGATGTAGGCTCTCAATGCTCGGGCTTCGATGTTTCTATTTTAATAGGAATTACCTTTATGAGTCCAGCGACCGGAGTTGAAATAAACCGGGGACAGACTAATTCACCAAGGGGTGCGTTTACAGTCGAAAATCGCATTTTCATTTGGGTTAGCATAGTGGACATTCGTTGACGTTGATATGGAAGTTGAGTACAACACACATGGACAGTCCAATTGATCCCATGCAGAAGAACCTTAATATGTGTTCAAGCAGCAATGTGTCCATGTATCAAGCTGCCACTTACTCAGAAACCTACCGCGTTGCTTAGTTTCAAACCAATTTGACAAGGTAGTTTTACTCGTGATCCGTTTACCACGTCAAGTGATTCCAGATGTTTGCCAAATGGTCGTCCTTTCGTGTTCAATAGGTTCGATTCACGCTTAAACGCATTGGTCACTGCAACAGAACGAGAAAAAAGAGACGCGTTGTAAAATACAAATATTGTAGGTTGATATTTATAGAAACAAGTCAGTAAATGTATGCCCAACTTTCAGTGTTCATAGGGCTAAGGTTGGTCAGACAGTTCCGTACACTGTCAAAGCAAGAAAAAATTTGACAACCACGAGTGTAGGAACCTATCCCACAGGTATTGTAGAAATGCACACTAAGATCCCAATCTGGCTTATATGATTGGGTCTACTGGCTCGCAAAGTCTGATGCATCACCTCTGGGCGGGTAGCCACTTGACGGAGGTTTAAATTACTCTCATCCACTCCGAGCACGCAGATCTTTGATCCATTTCAAATAATCACAAGTCCGTGTCATCGTGTCCCAGTTATCAGTTCATGACAGCTTTCAACTGAAAAGCGGTAGAATGGAACTTTTCCCATACATTTGAACAGAAGCGAAGCTGACTTGCAGCTCCCACCTGTTCCACCTAAACAAAAGATCAAGTTCTAACGCAAAACTAAATCAATAATGGTTATATTCCTTGATAGGACGAAGTGCAGTCTGGCCGATTGGTAGCACAGCGAAATAACGTAAAACAGGTCACTGCTCAAATTTGTTCCAAAGCAATACCCTAGATGATGTTTTACGACTTTTGGTAAACTGAAAGTATTAGAGAAATTGGAAATTCGGAAAAAATAATATCTAATCATGACCAAAGCCCAGGTGAAATAGAGCAAAGATCCCTAGATCCGTGTCCTGGGGACCTGATTCAATGCAGGGGCATTTCATTAAATGGTTTTCCTTGCATTTCCACACCGCATCTGTCAGTGTACCGATGTGATCTATGAGCAAGCAAACCATCACTGCTAAAGCACACAATTGGAATGATCCCCCAGATCTCGGATGACTTTACACAGTAGATAAGATTCGTTTCTTCAGCAAATCGAGTAAGATAAGCACAAAAATGCTCGTTGTTTTTTGAACGTGCATAATCAATTCATCCGAGTGTCAAAGTGTTGGAAGATGAGGGATGAGTGCTATGGTCATTTCTACTAATCGCATTTCTTTGCGGTAGAGTATCTTACAACATACTTGTTCAGTTGTATGGCCACACAAAAGGGATTGTCCGAAGTGAGTCTTTACTGCAAATGCTATTTTTTGCTATACCTGTCTGTTCGACCACTCTACCCAGTGGCAGCAATATATAGAAGTCATTCACACTATGGTATCAGGCTAGGGAACCGGAACCGCTCTACTAAACTGCCTCTACTGCGAAGCAGTATGCATTAGCTAGGAGAAGCAGATAATCGAATTTGACTGCAATTTATTTCATCCATAAATAAACGCCTCATGAATGACGTTTGGCAATAAATTCAAATTCAGCGAGCTATCCAGCAATTAAGTTTGGCTGTGCTGTTATGAGGTGAACAGGTTTGATGTAGATTTAAGTAGGACGAAATGTCAAGCCTGAAATCTGGCCGAAATGAATGGACAAACCACAGGGTCTCACTGTTCTACCTGTCAGATTTATGAATGAACAATATGAAGGTATGTCGGAGGTTACGCTGAGTTGAGTTTTGTTGAGTGAGTTGTATGCTTGCAAACAAGAAGTTTCTTGGATCTTTCCAACTTCCGCTAGTCTACAGCTGGTCGAGTACATTGCGAATAGAGGGATCTTTGGTGATAAGTCCGAATCCGACAGCCAAAATTCTGTTCCACATCTTGTGTTGGAAGAGGGACTGGAATGTGATTAACGAGACGTTATCTTAGCCGGTGAGACGGAATTGACGAGCTGTAGATCCTAGCCGCACGTGTTCGGATAGAGCTGAGACTCGGACGGACGCACACGATAGACGCGCGCTAATGATTTAGACGCGAAGGCTGGCCAGCTAACGACTCACGCGCAATCACGTGACCCGACTGACTCCCAAGTACGGCGAAGAGGAAAGAAAGACAGGCGGTCTTCTGTAGCTCTTTACGACCAACAAGGGCGAAGGGGTAGTTTGTAAAAAGCCATTGTCAAAAGGTGCCTGGTTTGGCCGTGTCTCTGAGTGGCTGATCCCTTCTACGTTGTGGGGAGGAATTGGACCCCGCTTCCCACAGCCATTCTGCCGGGGTTTCTGGCACGTTTTTGCGGGGATTTTTGATGGGCCCGCAACAATCAGACATCCCGGTAACATTTGCTGGTGTCATAATATAATGGCATCTCTCTGCTCTTTCCATGTAGCTCTCCGCCCTAGCTCAGTGGTCTCAACCACGGACTGGCAATAGTCGAGTTGCGGGTGTGAGCCCTACCAGGGTCCGATGGAATGCACACTGCTGATGCTTCCCGAAAGGATGCAACGCGCGTACAGTGCTTTTTAGCCGTTTCGGAGGGCCTGGTGGGATGTCACGCTTTGACCCGGCGTGCATTCTGTTTAAATGCCGCATAAGCCCGATGAAGATACGGCTAACAATCGAGTCCGACCCGCTATAAGATTGCTTGGTTTTTCATCAGACCCGGCCCGAACTCTTTTTACCCTATGGGTCACGTGAAGCACGAACTTTTATTCTCAATAAATACCATGTTCCAATGTTTAAGTTCGGAATTTTGTAGGAGATATACTGTAGAAGCATTTGTTTTCCGAATCGATGAGCAAAACGCACATCGCTTACGAGTTGGTAATTATGCCTTAATTTATCACATGGCGTTACAAATGTGGAAAGTAGTTACAGAGTATCGGAGTGCATCAAGTGTTGTTGCGTTCGCTAAACGGTAACTTAAGTGCACTGATTGGTAAATTTTCACGTTCTCCTGTCATTTTGAGGTCGATGCGACTTTTGTTGCAGACGAACTTTTCAGCCTTTTTGCTCTGACATTTTAGCGTTTCTCCCTTGTGGTTTCTGACAAAACGATGAGTGCTACCGAATTTGAGGCTCCATCTTTGTTCTCCTGTATGAAAAAACAACGCGTGCAGACAGTCTGCGACAGTCTTTGAGCTGTCACGTAAATGTTCGAGTCTCTAGCCTTCATCCCGATGACGTCCGGTTTGACACGGCAAGTTAAATCTGTTACAATCATCGATCTGCCTCGCACTGCTGAATAGGTTGCTACTTGTTGTCTGCTGATTGATCCCTAGTCTTGCTCAACAACAAAGGCACATTTCATTATGAAAATAACTCCTCAGCTTTTTATTTTTCGTTTTTGGTGCTATTATCACAATGCTTTTTAATAATTTGATGTCGAATGAAGCATGCGAGATTTCCTTGCGGTATACCAACCAGGTGCTTTCTAGTTCTTGAGCTGTACCGAGAAGGAGTACCTGTACCTGTCTAGTCAGAATCCTGACAAGTCCTAGTACGATGGAAAATCGCTGAGATGTCGTTTTCTTCGAAGTTTGTTAGCACTGCTCAATTCATTCGAACCACTGGGGAATAAAATGCACTTGTCTCCTGGTCTATACGCCCAGGTTATTACAATTTGAAACTTCTACTGTGTTAAATTGTCATTTAGTAACTGACGGTTTGAAGCTGGGAGTCGCTGCACAGGTAACCTAAACCGTCGTACACAGAAGTAGCGGGGTCTCTCATTGCAAAATCTTTGCCACTTGACGTCAGCTAGTTTGAACACCATGTCATCGTAAGCTCAAGTCTGTCTCAGACGAATAGAGTTTACGTCTTCAAGGACTAGAGGAAAATAACACAGCGAATTTCTACCAGATTTTCTTTTGCGGTTGGTGGCTAACCGACCAGTTGTTAAAACCCTTCCACAGCTATTAAGCTGGCTGAGCAAACTACTTCGAGTCCGACCCTTATAAGCATGTCAAGCAGGTTCATACATGAAATACTTCTGCATGACCCTGCTCTTCCAAGCAAACAGCAAACTGTCAACACGCTTTTACGATACAACACATCAACTTGGTTGTGATTATATTTCTTCACGCATTGGCTGCACGTCGTCCGCTGAGAGGTGAGTCAGCAAAGTCATATTCAAACTTGTACATGAAGTAGACGCCTCGATGTTCCACAAGTCAGGACTGTTAATTCTAAGGGAAATATAGTATAGAATAATAAATCAGGGACGGACAGAAAGCATTCCCTAATCCTGACATGTTGAAACCAGTTTGGGTTGATCTTATAAAACGTCTCTTCCGATTTATTATTCACTAATTCGCTGTGACCAGGTGCAGATTGCATGGTTGGTTAATGGAAACGATCCGTTATGAGAAAAGTTGCATCCTTCCACCTAACCGAGTCATTAAAGAGGTTATTAACTAAGGTACAAGCTCGCAGCTTTAAACTCCTCATATCCAACTTTGGTCTCACAACGACTGAGTAAATGGCGACAACGTAGACCGTACGTTACGAACGATGGAGCTTCAAAATCCGAATCCTTAAATAATTGGTTGGTTGCGCTTGAAGGTTATTATCCATGTAGTTAGCTCTGCAAATTTTCGAAGCACCCGACATATTTGAATATGCTGACATCCTCTGGCACTTCTTCTCTGCATTCCATTCTGTTAATCATCCGAATAGCGGTTTAAGTTCGCAATTCCCCTCTTTTAGCCTCTCTGTGTGCCGGCGTCTTCTTTAAGAAATCGGCACACCCGCCGCACACCATCTCTTAAATGTGCCTTGTAACCAGTGACAGATGCGAGAACACGTCCCATGTTGTGTGACATATCATAAGATTTTTCTACCCTCGTTCACAGCACATGTGGTCGCGGAGATTTATAATACGGACAGTATGCTGCACCTGTTGTGAGATATCAGACATGTGTGAAGACATTCAGTATCTAAGTAGTAACAGTCAGAGAAAACATGTATCGGCCTTCAGAGCGCATTATTAATTTGTAATTGTTCCCAAACCGATAACGAAAGCAAGGTACGGGACATTCATGTTAGATTAGTGCAGAGGACTAGGAATGTTCCAAGTAGAGAGCGATTCAACATTATGGTAAAGCGTACAGCGTTTCGTGCCATGTATCAATTGATACTGAACCTAGTAATTTTGTTCAATGAAGACA